GCATCCAATCAGATCTGAGTGGGGCTAATTAAGGAGGGCTGCATTTCCTTGTGCAGCCTGCTCTCTCCCCTGCACTGCGCTCTACAACGTTCCAGGACAGCCTAAGAGATGCTGACAATGCAGATGTCGTCTGACATCTCACCACCGCAGGACAAACATTATTAGATAATTTCATCCCACTCCAGAGGCATAGAAGCCAAGATGTAAACAATTCTAAAGTCAACTCTTGATTATCCACATTTACAGAAGGAAAGAGCAAAGGCCCTGGTAATCTAAGAGCAGATAGATGGAAAGATCATGGAGTTGGCTTTGGAATGCACTTATTTGCGAATATAGGTGTATCTAACATTCAAGAAACTCACAAATCAGCTACAAATATTATAGTTATGCAGAGTTATAAATCTCTGGAAGTTAGAAACCTTTTCACTGTTTGATTAGAGCAGCTGACAGAATAGAAAATTAAGGGATAGTCTTAAGACACATTCTTAGATGGGCGACTAAAAATCTATGGGTTCTACTAGACAAGCCTTTAACTGTGCAAAATGTAATTCTGGAATTTGGCATAAAAGCATGGCATGAACAAATAACCCAGTCCACAGTTGGGAATATTGGAAGTGATTTTGAAAAATTCTACTGAGCACTGGCAATTCTCTTTCAAATACTGTAAGTGATCTCGTCTTGGTTCAGTTGTCTCTCTTGTTAACCTTAATCTTTTCACTACCTCTCTTCCTTTCAATACATTCAGGCTTCTTATTCTCATCTTTATTATATTGAGCCATTTCTTCATTTCTCTCCCAAGGTCTGCTGCTTCAACTTCATGAGCCGTCTTCTGAACTTTGCTCTAGATCTTTTCCTAGGAAGTTTTTGCCCATGAAGGTTTCAAATAAAATCTCTTCCAAGTTTTGTCGAACCCCACTCAAGGCAGAGAAACCGACGCTGCTAAACTCTACAAGTGAACTTTCGCTATGTGCAGCTGGATGGGCATCATAAGCTTCTAGGGCAGAATTCAAGCCATTAGGCAGTCCTTGTTCATAGTGCCAAATGACATGACCCTTCTATAAACGTTTTACAATCTATAACCCGACGTTCAGGATTATCAAAGAATGAGTACCGGGCCATGAAAGCCCCCCTTCATTTTACAATGATTCCCACATGTCTAGAATTAGTGCAGTATAATGGAAAGGTAAACAGTATGTGCTTCAGGGTCAAGCCAAACTGGATTTGGATCCTAGTCCCACTACTTATTACACAGTTTGGCAAAGTTCCTAAACTCCTCTGACCTTACCTTTCTTTCTTCATCTGTAAAATGGGGATATAAATAGTACCTATCTCTTAGGGGTACTGTGAAAATTAAAAGATAATGTAGGTAGGATGCTTGGCACAAGGTGCTCAACAAGTATTAGCTATTATTAATAAAATCTCTTGGACTTCTGAAAACGAGCTGATTCCAGTTTCTTAGTCTTTAGCACTACAGCTTAGATGTCAATATTGAACTAGTATTTCAATGTGATTTGCATCTTGTCAAAACTGAATTAAGTTTCCCACTGTTGATTTAACTTTCTAGGGGCAACTTCCCCCTCTAAGTTGAGGTACTTATGTGAAATTTACAGCTAACATCTAGGGTGAATGATCATATTCTGCCCATGTGAAATAAAACTCTCTCTTGATGTTGGAGATTGCATATCTCTATCTATATTATAGTCTGTTCAGACTTAAAATGTTGACCAGTGCTGCTAGGCACTACTGAACTGAGCAGAGGGGGAAATGTTATTATGGCAGGAAGAGAAATGAATAGTACTTAATGAACTTGCATTTCAATTGAGCAGGGTTTTTAATAAAAAAAAAAGCTTTTTATAAATTCTTTTGCTCAGCAACAATAAAAAAAGGAAAAGAGCGCTCGGCTGGGAACAATAGCTACTCAGCTCATAAAAATCATTAGAAGGAACATTTTCTTTGTCTACCATGCCCAGCAATTTCACTGGTGGGCAATGATCCAGATCACTTAGATTCTACCTAAAAAATGAGTCCAGAGAACTTCTCAACTTTTCCAGCTAATAAATTAAAATTCTAATTTTCTAATGTGTCTAACTCTACCATAAATAAAATTCGGCCCATATTTCAGGGAATGCTTTTGACAAGTAGATGATACTGCTCTAGTGTTAATGGGATATGCTCTTTGGGTTGCCTTTCTGTTAGGAGGAAGGTACGCTGCTGACACATTCCCTCACTGCCATCAAATCCTCCTTGGAGCCAGAGGCCTTTAAGGAGGTGACTGTGGGTGAGAGGCTGAGTGCCTGTGGATGGTATGGTTCCCAGTGCGCAAAGTGAGCTGGCCTACTTGGATATTTAACTTTGCACTGCAGCCTCTGGAGCTCATCTTGAGTTGAGTCAGAGAAACTTCAGTATTTTTGACATTAAGGGCCTCGATGATTCATCTCCTCCCACAAATGTCAGTAAACTACCTTAAGCTAACTGCCAAATGTGTTGAAGATACGTCATTAAAGGCTCTTTTTGTATTCAAGATTCTCCATGACAATCAAAGGATTTCTGTCCTTGGATAAAATACGTTATTTCTAATAACCAAGCTGGGTAATCACAAGCATGCCTAGTAATAAAATTCAGTATTTCTTAATTCAAAAGTATCAGGAGAAAAAAAGTTCTCTATATTTAAGAATCTGTTTTTTTCTATTTAGTTTGAGCATATTACACATTTTAAGAATGTACTTATTTTATATTTTTACTGCCTGACATAGTATTTAATATTAGCTGACTTACTACAGTGCATTTCAAACCAACTAAAGGGAATGGTTTGAAGACTAAATAAAACAACGTCTTCCACAATCACCATAGTTTTTTCCTTACTGAACTTCTCTCCACTTTTGACTTTATGCGGGATATTGGCGCCATCAACTATGGTCTAAATGGCATTCTGTGCTGCCTTTAATTAACTATCCATTTGACTTACACTTTCTCTGGAATCTGGGAAGTAATTGTTTTATTTTTAAAAGGTCTTTCCTGCTTTCTCAGATTGCATCTAAGTTGTAAGAATAAACAGAAACTGCAATATCAACAAAGAACTTAATTAAGAAGAATATGCAATGAGAGCAAATATGTAAGAGCCATCTGTACTGAGGATAGGTAACCATTCAAATAAGCTTTTTACAGATAATAAGGAGTTGAGGTAGCTTTTAAAATCCAATTTCATGAGTACAACGCCTTTTACAGAATGACTACTGAATTAATATCTACCTAGAGTAGTTCTTGTGTCATCTGAACCCTACTCTAGTTTACTTGAACTACACTCCTGACAAAACTTTTAAAGCAATGCCTTAACTGATTTGAGTAAGGGGGGAAGAAATCTACACTCTGCCTTGCTACTTATTAAAAATGGCCACCAATTTTTTCACGATCCTCTATATCCTCTCCCTTTGAGTCTAGGCAGGCTCGATGCCTATCAGAACCACTGCCAAGACCCAGCTTGAGTTTGCAGCTTCCACTTCCTATCTTTTCACTTTCTCTTGTAACACAGCCACCATAGTGTGATGATGCTTCTCTCCACAGCCCTGTGGAGAAGCCTATGTGGAGAGCAATCGAGGCTCCTGGCTGACTGCCCTGGTGAACCTCCCAGCCAAAGCCAGTACCAACTTGCCAGCCACATGAAGCGGCTCCTTCACAGTATTTAAAAGGTATTTTAAGATAGATGAAATAAAGTGGTTCAGTTTACCTGGGATGACCCAGGATTTGTAAAGGAGTACTGGAAAATAACGCTGGTACCCTGTATCTGAATCTGGTTTCTCAGTTTTGGGATAGTAATGTGTTGATGACTGGGGGCGACTGGGGAGTTAATATGCAGTGTAAATTAAAGGGCTGGTCCTTCAAGATCATGTGTCCATCCATTGCTTTTGAAAAACCCTGTACTCTAATCACACTAATAAATCCTATTTCTGCTAATTGTGACTGATCTCAGGGGAAACAACACCCACTCTTCAATCATGTGGTATATCTCTTATTCATTGTATTTAAAGCCCAGCTCTCATGCCACTTATTCTATGAACCACCTCCTTTATGCGCTCAGTTTAAAATATTCTTTTCTTCTTTAAACTTCTTTAACATATCACCTGTACTTCTCTAATAGTGTGATTTACCTTTCCTCTAAATGTGACTTCTTTGGGGTCATGATCCATGGTTGGTTCACACCTGTAACTCTCAGAGGACCCACTACAGTGCCTTACACATTATAGGTGGTCAATAAATATTTGCAGAATGAATAATTGAATAAATATACAGTACTGGAAGGCTATAATTAAAGACAAATTCCTCAGACTTCTTCTACCTCTTTTTCAGCCTTTCCTCAGAGGGCTCATTTTGCAAATCTTTAATCATTTTAGTAGCTCTCCAAGTTCTCATGCTTCAGTTATAGGGTCTCAGACAGAACACAGTTCCTGAACAAGTCCTAACCACTATTTTACAAAACACCACTTAGTAATTTTGATTGAGTTTCCGATCATTTTCCTATGGGATGGCAGTGTTTGATCTCAAAACCTTACATAGGCAGAGTACTAAAGTCCTCTAAGGAAACAAGGGACAATGTGAATATAAGTAACAGCAGTAAGAAAATTTCTACTTATTGCTCATAATTCCCACGTTATTGATGATGATACTTGAGTGAGGGCAGGGAGCCAGGGGAACTTAGGACTAATGGAATAAAAACTTAAAATGTATGACTACCACAGAGAAAGAAGGAAAATAAAGATCAGTTATAGAATTTTAAGGTGTTCCTTTAAAAGATAATAAAAAGATAGGGGCGTCTGGGTGTCTCAGTTGGTTAAGCATCTGCCTTCAGCTCAGGTCAGGATCTCAGGGTCCTGGGATCGAGCCCCTCATCGGGCACCCTGCTCAGTGGGGAGCCTCTTTCTCCCTCTCCCTCTGCCGCTCCTCCTGCTTGTGCTCTCTCTCTCTCAAATAAATAAAATCCTTTAAAAAAAAGATAATAAAAGATAGATTGTTAATCTTTTATTATTATATACCTTAATAGTGGAATAAATGATTGTGGTCAGTACATGTATGAAAATTATGAACACCGTGGTTTAGACTACTTTGCAGGACTTTTTTTGTTTTATATTCTCCCTTTTTTTCCTTCAGAATGATTCTTAAGCATCAATCAATGTTTCGCGGTTGCTTCTAGCAAGTCTTTTGCTTCATTTATTTTGGTTGCTAAGTAAGGAGATCCACCTGAGAGGACAAAGAAAAAATAAATGGATTAAAACACACTTCATTATTGACATTTTTTAAAGTCTCAAATAAAGAAAAACGCTCTTAATTAGAATTCTCTGATATTTTCCCACACATTCATCCTCTTGACAAATTATTTTATAAGCTAAGTAGAAATCACAACAGCATAAATTAAATTTTAGTGAAGCACTACAGATACCCAGCAATCAAAGATAACCTCTGATAAAAATAATGAAAGAAAGCTATGATCAGGAATAATTTGAAAAACACTCAAACATTTCACTGGTCAGACATTGTCATTCAAATACTTGATCAGAGAATTTTTTTGAAATTAAGTGGATGGTTAGGTAAATAAAATAATGGTCTCACTCCAAGACTTTTTTTCTGTAAAGGGAAGAATATTCAACTATGAAGGAGGGTATCCTTCTGAAGGAGGTAAAGCAATCCAGGGGACCTTTCAGAGTCGTATCAAACCTTACATTTCCAAACACACACACAAAAAAATGTTAGAAAATGCAACTATGTACTATCCAGTTATAAAAATCATATTTATTAATACAGGTGAATGAATAAATGATAATAAAAATAATATTAAAGGAAATGCTCCCTGTTCTCTGAAATGATCCTAATTAGAATACTTAAGTAGTAGTCTTAGATTCAATGTGCCCTAAAATAAAATTACATCAGTTCTTTTTAGAATTCTTTGCAATGAATTCTTTCTAATGCAAACAACAAAGAAGGAGGAAATTGAGCTGAATTTCAAATTCAGAATCATTATAAATCACAAACAGAATCTGACATACAAAAATACTAGCCCCAGACAGTCACATTAAAGCTATTTAAGCATTATAATGCCTTCTAACTTCTAGTCCTGAAAACTTTCACTGCTTAACGCTTGAGCTAACAATCAAATTATGGTTCACCAGTCTCTTTGTGTTTGTTTTTATTTTTTTATTCTCCCCATGAGTACAAACAATCTATGGCTTTTGAAAACCTCCTAAGACCTCAGTAGCTTACAACAAACCAAAACACATCTAGATAGCATTGGTGTGTAAATTGTCCAGACGATATCCAAGCCTTTTATTAATATCATACCACCCAGTTTATATAGGAAGAAGAAAGCAGGGAAAACAGATCAACAAACATGGTGTTGTAGTAGAAAGGGCAATGCTGGAGGAAGCTATATTTAGCTTTTTGCTTTTTGCCCTTGAGGATACTACTGACATTTCCATATCAAGATCTGAATTGCTATAAACACTTATGGAATATATCATGGAGTGACCTTGAATATACAGTAGGAATCACAAATGAAGTGGATGAAAGTTTCCATATGCCCTTGGTTATGAAATAAATTGATTTCATGATTATCTTTGAAAATGATCTTAGAATTAGGTAATGTCAATCTTGGTAAGATGTTTGAATGTTTAGAGCTACCAAGGTAATGCAAGGCATTTTCTAAGTCCTCAATAAATATTAAAATATTAATAGAACTCAAATATAACCTGTAAATTGATTATATGCACTCTGGATATTTAAATCATGGGCCATAATGTGATCATTTAGCAGATAGAAAAAAAAAGGCACTTAAGATTAAAAGTTGTATTAAATATTACATTTATTGATGGCAAAGTTAGAGAAAAAGAACTGACAATTTATTTAGAATACTGTTGAATTACCACTCACCCTCTTTAAGTTAGAGGAACACTGGATTTTCGATTTATGTGCATGGTAGAAACTTTGGTCTGGCTCTCATTCTACCTTCATTCTGTCTTCCTAAAACTTGGAAAACTACAACTCCTATATTCTCTTCAAGTAGTGTTTGATTAAAATTAGGATCTATCCGTGAAGGGCAGTCTTGTGAGATCTGGAAGGCTCAAGTGATAGAAAGGCTTTCTTGCTAGCACTTGTGCAGTTCTAGTGACAGTCTACGAGGTAGTAGCTCCCTGACAGAGCAGCTCTATCATTATTTGGGGAGTCATTTTTGTAGGCCAAGCCTAGAATTTACTCCATCAGACCTCCCAACAATCTGTAACCACTAATCCATTGTACTCAATGCTCTCCTGTTTAGAACATCCAGTTTCTGGCACTGAATCTTGACTGATATAATAACAATGTAGGATACATATCCTATATTTAATGGACACAATCTACTTTTGGATCTTTCAGTCCTGCTCAAATTTCTTGGGAGAGTCATCTGAATTCCATCTGGTTAGAACACTCACCCTCACACTTGATCTCTATACCACTGTACCTTCACTAAATACTGCCAGAGCTCTTCTGCCTTTGGCTGCCATAAACTATTGTTTTAGATCAACCATCCCACTGACACCAACTAGAAGAGCTGAATAAAATACAAACACATCCGGGGCGCCTGGGTGTCTCAGTCATTAAGCGTTTGCCTTTGGCTCAGGTCATGATCCCAGGGTCCTGGGATCGAGCTCCGCATCGGGCTCCCCGTTCCATGGGAAGCTTGCTTCTCCCTCTCCCACTCCCCACTGCTTGTGTTCCCTCTCTCACTGTCTCTCTCTGTCAAATAAATAAATAAAATCTTTAAAAAAAAATACAAACACATTAGTATGAAAGCATTAGAGTTCTACCAAGTCAGCCAGGTCTTGAGAGCCAAGATCCTAGAGATAAGGAAAATGCACTGTGATAAGCCCAACATCTGTGATGAGCCCATTATTCATATCCTTCACAGGAATCAGACACAAAATAGTACATACTACACAATTCCACTTATATGAAATATTAGAGAAGACATATCTAGGGGCACCTGGGTGGCTCAGTCAGTTAAGCGTCTGACTCTTGATTTCAGCTCAGGTCACGATCTCAGGGCTTGTGAGGTCAAGACCCACATCGGCCTCTATAATAGGAGCGGAGCCTGCTTAAGATTCTGTCTCTTGGGGCGCCTGGGTGGCTCAGTCGTTAAGCGTCTGCCTCTGGCTCAGGTCGTGATCTCAGGGTCCTGGGATCGAGCCCCACATTGGGCTCCCTGCTTGGCGGGAAGCCTGCTTCTCCCTCTCCCACTCCCCCTGCTTGTGTTCCCTCTCTCACTGTGTCTCTCTCTGTCAAATAAATAAATAAAATCTTTAAAAAAAAAAAAAGATTCTGTCTCTCCCTCTCCCTTGGGGACTGCTTCCCCCTCAAAAAAAAAAAAAAAAAGACATACCTAATCTAATCCATAGTGGCAGAAAGTAGAATGGTGATTGCCCCAGTTGGGGTTAGGAATTGGCAATGGCAAGGGGCACCAAGGAACCTTCTGAGTTTTAAAGTGTTCTGTCTTAACTGTATTAGCAGTTACATGGGTGTATACATTTGTCAAAATCCATCAAACAGTGCGTATCAACAGACATATTTTATTACATGTAAATTATATCTCAATATAGTTAAGTTAAAAAACATGAAGAACAAACAATCTAAGTGACATACATAAAACACTCCACCCTGCAAGTATAGAATATGCCTTCTTTTAAACTGCATGAGGAACATTTACTGAAGTTGACCACGTGCTAGGTTATAAAGCAAGTCTCAACAAACTTTGAAGACTCAAATCACAACAAGCAGTGCAACTTGGAAGTGTGTTCCATGCACTAATGCTGGTTCACAGGTGTTAATGGACCACAACTAGATAGGTCTAGATATTGAGAATAAGTGTTTAGAAAATATAGCCATTTGAAATAGTAGTGTGTATCTGTAGAATCTAATAATAATAATAAAAAAAAACCTGGGGCTTTGCTCTTAAATATCTTTTTACTTCAATTTTCTAATAAATTCATTTTTATTATATTTTTTAAAAGTTGCTAGTCCAACAGAGATTGGGGAAAAGAAACAAGTCTTCCATCACAGATAGTTTGAAAAGTACTATATGAAGTATGCTGACTTTAGTGGAATTAAGCTGGCAATCAATACTAAACATACCTAGGGGATCCTAATGCTTGGAAATTAATCACTATATTTGTAAGTAACCCATGCATCAAGGAAAATATCATAACAGAAATTAGCATTCAAGAGAATTAACAGAGTCAAAGGTTAGTTCTCTGAAAAAAACTGATCAAATTCATACTGAAGCATTTGAAATTTAAATGAAATAAACTCCAGGAAAAATGTAATGTATCAAAACTGATACAAGAAGAAATGGGATACCAAAAGAATCCTATCTTTTTGAGAAATTGAATCTATAATTACAATCTTCCCACAAAAAAAAAGCCTGGTAAGGATGGTTTTATCAGTGAATTTCTCCAAAAACTAGAAGGAAAAAAAAAACACATTTCAACTCTTTTTATGAGGCTAGCATATCTTTGATAACAAACCCTGGTGGAAGAATCACAAGATGAACACAGATGCAAAAACAAACAAAATATTAGCTTATCAAATCAGGCTAAATATCATGACCAAGAATCCAAGACTGGCTTTAACATTAGAAAATTAATTAATGTAATTCATCACATTAATAGAATAAAGAATAAATATCCTATAATCATCTCAATAGATATAGAAAATGCAATGCACATTCATAACAAAAACTTTTAGTAAACTAGGAACAAAGGGGAACTTCTTTTATGTAACAGAAGTTACCAAAAAATATAGCAAACATACTTAGCAGTAAAATGTTGAGAACTTTGGCTCTGAGATCAGCAACAAGAAATGGATACCTACTATCATAATTTCTATTTAACACTATATTCAAGGGTCTAGCCATTTTAATAAATGCTCCCCTCATTCCCCCCTCAAAAAAATAACGATTAGAAAGAAATTGTCATTCTTCACAAATGACATGACTATGTAGAAAATCCAAAAGGATCTAAAGACAAAATTATAGAATTAAATGAATTTAACAAGTTGCTGGATACACAATAGCAATATATACAAACTCAATTGTTATGTCCTAGAAAAAATAACTATATAATATAAACTTTTGAAACAACACAATTTATAATAGCATTTAAAAAGTTGATACCTAGGGATAAATTTAACAAATTAAGTATATGACTACAACCCAA